GGTGGGTGTGGGTGTGTGTGTGTGTGGGTGTGGGTGTGTGTGTGTGTGGGAGGGTGTGGGTGTGGGTGTGGGTGTGGGTGTGTGTGTCTGTGTATGTGTCTGTGTGTGTATGTGTGTGTGTATTTCCTTTACACTGTATATTGTGTTATGGGTCTTATTTCAAACTCACTGTACCTGTTATTCTAGAAAACAGTAGACGAGAAGAAGGTGTCTGGAAAGGACAATGAAGATTCTTGTTTTTATTATCAAATGGAATTTTCGTTATTACTATACCCTTTTGAAGGGTGCAAAGGAAGAAGAGGGAATGTCAACTTTTCACATTTTTGTGATAAGCTAAAGAGTGGATATCTCATAATGATTGACATGTCTACACAAAAATCAGGCTGACAAAGGGGGAGAGTCACCAGGTACGCCATGTTTAAAAATACCGTGTTCTATGCAAGAAATGAGAAAGTCAAACTTTAAAATCGTGTTGTTGTTTTTTCTCAAATGTGAAAAAAATTACATTACCCCTTTTTCCTTTGCCCATTTAGTTTTTGATTGGACGAGACAGAAAAGTTTGTAGGGCATTGATGGTGTTGTCTGTTGCATCACAATAAGATCAAATGAGAGATATTACATGTAGTAGTGCAGCTATAAGATCACCAGGTGGCCACGGGACTACGGATGCGGGGACTCCTGAGTGCCCCTTGCAATTGGAATGACCGTTGGTTAAGATTTACATCCCTTGCAAGAACACAGTGAGGTTATTTGAGAGACACCATCTCAAATTTCAACATCAGTCTGCCATAGAACATTGGCTTCATGTGAGCTAGAATCTAGGTATCAAAGCCCATTGAACCTCTGAAAAAAGATTGGGGTTTTTTGTTTCATATCGTCTCCTGTGGGATTTGAGCCAAGGAGGACCTTCTGCCCTGCAGGCAAGTGACTTGGCCATGAAATTATTAGAACTAAATATGGAGATACGACATTTGTACTTTGAGGCATTCAGTTCAATTTTTCAGAAAACTGGGTTTTCTTAAAACAAAAACTGTTTCTCAATTCCACAGGAAAACAGCAATCTGTGAAAACTTTTAAAGTTGAAACATTAATTATACACACAAACAATGGGTAACAGTTAGATGAATGAGTTGGTGATTGATTTGAATCTGGAGCCATCTCAAACTTTGAAGGTTTATTTCTCAAAAGCGGAGTGCGTGGACATACGACAGTTGTACTCTGGGCCGACGAATTAGCACATGGTAAAAGCAAGTCAGGTGGACAAAAGCAACAGAGGGAAACACGACGTTTTACTTTTAGTTAGGGTTTTACGACACCTGCAACACAATAAGGTTTATACAGTAAAACATGACTATTATAGCGGCACCTGCTACAGCGGGACCTTACCAGAATCCCCCCTTTTTTCTGTAAACTCAATTACCGTGCTCGGGTTTAGCAGGGTGGGGAAAGGCCCGAACTTGGATACAGCGGGTGAGATCGAGCAAGCCCTAGCCGGGAGGAAGGGGGTTGGGGGCTGTAGGCGGGTTCCAAACAGGCAGTCAGCGGTGCGCGTTATGATTGGCCTGTCCAGTGATGAGCGAGGTGGAGCAGGCGGCAGAGAGAGAGAGAGAGAGAGAGAGAGAGAGAGAGAGAGAGAGGAGAGACGCGTTACGCGTGCCACTCCAAAAGTAATGTGCTGTAGCTTAGACGTTCAGTATGAGAGTGTATAGGCCATAGTACTAGGTCTAGGCTAGGCTAAAAAGTAAAAGAAAAGGAAAGCGTGTGATTCCTGATTCATGGAATTGCGACCGTTGATGAGATGCTCATAGGCATAGGCAGCATCCCCTTCACCAGTTCTACAGTAGGCCTACCGGTACGATAGATAGCACAAGCAACGAGACCGAGGAAAAGATCGAGGAAATGCTTTTCACTCGAATTAAAAGGCTGAGATGATCAACGAATTTGACAAGAAAAGGAAGACTATTCAGAAGTAAAGCGCAAATATTATTGATATGGAAGGGAGGTAATCATGTGGATTTTCCCCCGGTAATTTCCCTTTTGCATTCTTTTGCCTCAACTTGCCAACAGCGGGATTTTTCTTCTGGCACCAAATGTCCCGCTATAGCCGCGTTCTACTGTCAATATGCCGATGAATAGAGGAGTTACAAGACCAACTTTGAAAACTACCAGGAGGCGTCTAAAAAAAGAACCACATCCCGCCCCAACGAGATGAAGTGCGACTGCTGGCGCGACTTAACATCAGAGATGTCCCTCTCGACTGACCCTGAACAAGTCTTCCGGGTCATAAATGCCATCTCAGGCAAGAAAACCCCCTCCACCGGCAGCACACTCACAGTAAACAATAAAACCCTAAAAAGAGATAGAAGCAAGGCTGAAGCATTTTGCCGTGAATACGCCTCAGTCAGCCGCCTAAAACTCGACAAGGCGGACAAACGCCGGCACTACCAGCTTAATGAAAAGCTTAAACTCCTTCCTATTGACCAGAACACAAGCTATATTCTCTCATCACTATGGCTGAACTAACAGTATGTATAGGAAAGCTGAAGAACGGCAAGTCTCCCGGGCTTAATGGCGTAACCAATGAGATGATTAAGCACATCGGACCCATCGCAACCTCTGCCCTGCTCCGTCTTTTCAACCTTTCATGGGAAATGGCCATTGTCCCAAACAGCTGGCGACGTGTTAAAATCTTACCGATACCCAAGAAGAACAAACAAGCCTGCATATAAGATTGGATCCTACCGCCCCATCAGTCTCACCAGCTACATGTACCTTGCTAAGCTTGTGGAGACCCTCGTCAAGGCCCGCCTGATGTACTTTCTGGAGAGCAACACCTTGCTGAGCAACAATCAATCGGGTTTTCGCAAATTAAGGTCTACCGAAGACCAAGTCCTGTGCCTAACGCAACACATTTCAGATGGGTTCCAGGCACGCCCCAAAATGCAACAAACTTTGCTACCCCTCGTGGACTTCTCGCGTGCCTTCGACAAGGTATGATGCACGAGGTCAATGAAGAAGAATATGATAGAGAAATCTACTCCCAGCCGCATCACCAGTGGATAGGCTCGTTCTTCGGGGACAGATTCGCCTGCGTCGAGCACGGCAACGCAACAAGCAGGCTGCGTCGTTTCGAGCAGGGAGTCCCCCAGGGTAGCGTCACGTCCCCCACACTGTTCCTTGTCTTCATCGATGATATTGAAGCAGGTCTTCCCGAAGCCATGAAGACGGGACTCTATGCTGATGACTATTACGCCACCAACGAAGACATAAATCAGGCTGAAAACAGTGTCCAAGCTGCCATAAACCCCCTTGAGCAGTGGGCAAAGCAAAACAAGATGGAGATCAGTACGGAGAAAACAGAGTGCACCCTCTTCACCACCAGCACTCACGAGGCTAAGCGAAAACCAGCACTCTCTCTCAAAGGCTCCCCCATCACCTTCAACTCCAACCCCACCTTACTAGGGGTCACACTTGACCGTACTCTATCCTTCAACGCCCACATCCAAAACCTTGAGCTAAAACTGGCAAAAACTGTCAAGCAGACTTTGAACATTGAAAGCCCTTACAGGCACCACCTGGGGTGCCTCAAGGGAATGCATAAAGCCAATATATTATGCTACTTGTCGGTCAACTATCGACTATTGTGCCCCTGCCTACATGCTTCTTGTCAAACCCTCCAACCTGCAGAAACTGGAAAGAAAGCAGAATGAAGCAGCAAGAATCACCACGGGCTGCTCAAAGGATACTCATGTGGACAGCCTCCTTATTGAAGCAGACATTTTACCACTAAGGCATAGAGCTGATGCCTTGACTGCCATCTCACTTGAGAAGTCCATACATCTGCCTGCTCCGAACCAACGCAGAGCCTCTGCAACAAAATCAATGCCCACGCCGACAGGCAAGTCGAACTGTAGAAAGCATGCCCAGAACTTCGTAGCCGAAACTGAACTAGATACAGTGGGTGTCGCATTCAACGAGGTTGCCGGGACCGGCTTGTTGTCCTCGTTGGATCCGACCTCTCGTTGAACGTGACTAAGGCTAAAGAAAAGAAAGGAGAAAAGTTATTATATTACGCGATGTACCAATACCAGTAATTAAAACAGTTGTTCCCTCCTGATGACGAGAATCTCAAATAACATCATCAGTGTGCGCGTGTTTGGGCTGTGGTCTGACCGTCATTTCTGCATTTTTAAATATGTTTTTTCCCGGAACACTTCTCGAGTGGGAACATAACTTCTCACATCTAGGATTAGATCTACGTAAAGTAAAAGGCGGGAGCTTGAATTTTCTGATCAGGGGAAGAAACGGAAATTGAAAAAAATGAAGGTCTCGATCTAGACCTACCCATCCAGAGTTCATCCAGTTTCACACAGCCTGCATCTCGTTCCCACCCACCTCCTCCCATCCCTACAGTAGGCTAGCCCCCGTCAGGAAAGCAGCAACAGAGGCTACCATTCGATC